CTTCCCTCATTACCTTCTAATTTTGCACAACTTTCCAGTTTGTCTTTCTTCCTTATTGTTTTCTTGCTCATCTATTTCAGTTGCAAATCTCATTAATGCTGCATTGAAGGACTTGGGTTGGGCATGAGCATTAATGCAACGGTCCAATTCTGCTCCCTGAAAGCTTACATGGCTGGTGAGGTGGTGGTAGCAAATTGATGTTGGGAAGGACCTTTACAAACCAGCTAGATGCAAAATGTTCAATGCTGTAATTTCTAGAAACGCAGTCAGCACTTTCACCAAACTAATTTCAAAATTATTTCAAGCCTCGAGAGGATCCTGTACCTCTTTGGACATCTTGCATTGAGGCTGCTACTCAGAATGGTGTCAAATGAGTTCCAGAAGGAAGTATCTTATACCTGTATCTCATTGTGCCCATGGTATTTAAGGCAAGAGTAGACAACCCACTTTATTGATGCTTAGAATTTACTCATCTTAAATTCAGTAAGCTTTGCACCGTCAGGAAAGAGCAGGAAACAGCCTGAATGAGGATAAAGTTAAGGGAATTCGGTGCACAGAAGGAGGCGCTTGTTGCTTGCTTTTCCTTCGGCTCATAGTTTGTAAGGATTTTTTAAGCAGGAACAATTGAAGACCAGGATCGAGGACCAGGACAGAAGATTGACATCACAGGTGTTATGGGTCAGGCCAAACCCCTTTCAAGTATATCCAGGAGATAGCCTAGACCCTAACCTTTTCTTATTTAAAGGCAAGAGTAAGATGCTGTGTTCCGGATGCAATTCGATTGGTCACACTACTCAGCTTTAAGCAAAACACATTTGATTCTTATACCAAAGTTAAAATGCAAATAAGGAAGTATTGGTCTAGCTTTAATTCCATTAGAAAACATAATGGAATAATAGATTATTTAACTGCTAAACAGCAACCGCTCCAGTATAGTAACATCCTATAAACACACCATTGGCAAAGACAAATTCAGTAAAATACATTGTCTCACATGCAGTGTTTCTCCAGTTGAGGAGGAAAGAACGTCAAGAGAAAATTCTGGCAGAAAGCGCAAACTCAAGTGTTTCGCTGTAGCAGGGAGAGTTATATGGCAGCATCAAAACCACAACACCTGTCAAAAACTAAACAAAACCCATGGTTCTGTGGGAGCCTGACTCCACCCATGCAGGCTGCTTTTATTGTTCCAACTTTAAGAAAAAAAAACCCAAAGACCTCACAAGCTGTTTACAGAACAGACCACTCATCACCTCTGTCTCAACGTTTCTTCATAAAGAAAAAAAAAGGACAAAGTACGCCTCTTAAAGCCAGAATATTGTCACACAGCTAAACTGTTAAGTTCATTAGTTGGCAATAGCTACTAATTTGACTATCTGCTATGGGTTACTTTCAGATTGAAGGCAAAAAGCAGAAATACTTACAGCTACAAACTAAAAGTCAAGTATGAAATTTTTAAAAATAAAATTAAGAACTAAGTAATTAAAATAGAGATGCCAGGGAAGCGATGTGGTGTAACTGCATGATATGGGAGCTGGTAGAGCCCATCGTGGTTCATAGTGACCACATTTGCAACAACTGCTGGTTGTGTGAGGAACTCCAGTTCAAAGTTACTGAGCTGGAGTCAACTTCGAACACTGCGACACATTAAGGAGTGGGAGAATTACCCTGATGCTGTGTTTCAGGACGATGTCATATCCCTTGGATTAAGTAGCTTGATTTTGGTCAGTGGTCAGGGACAAGAGGGTGTGCCTATGAGCGAGACAGGTATGGGATCCAGGAAGTAGTGCTGAAGGAGTCTTAGCCCTTGAGTGTGTTGAACAGGTTTGAAATTCTTGCTTCCTGCCTAGATAAGAGTGGAGACAATAGGGAGGATGAGCAAATTGAACATAGCACCATGGTACAGGGAGGAGAAAGAGAAATGTAATTTTACTCAAAGATAGTATACATGAGGGGAATAGACATTTATGTGACCAGAAATGAGAGTCCCAAAGGCAGTGTTGCCTGCCTGATGTCTGGTTGAAGGATATCTCCTCTGATCTGCAAAAGAACTTGCAGTGCGAGGGGAAGATCCAATTGTTGTTGGTGCCTATACGGACAACAATAATAGGTAGAGAGGAAAGAGGTTCTGCTGTGGGAATTTGAGCAGTTAGGGGCTAAATTAAAAAGCAGAACCAAGAAGGTAATAAACTATGGATTACTTCCTAAGATATATGCAAATTGGCACAGGGTCAGCAAGATTAAAAAAAGTAAATGTGTGGCTCAAAGGCTGATTTGGGAGAAATGGGTTTGAATTCCTGGCACATTGGCACCAGTACTGGGGAAGGAGGAAGCTGTTCTGATGGTAGCAGCTTCACCTGAATCATGCTGGGACCGGAGTCCTGGTGAATTGCATAACTAAGGCTGTAGATCGGGTTTTATACTAAATCGCTGGGGGTGGGGTGTTCAAATTATGGAAAAAGTTAAATTTCCAGAACAAGTAAGGGGACAGAGAGTTTGGAAAGCGTCAGGAGTCTGATAAGGTTATCAGGAGGCTGCAGCACCTTGTAGTAAGAACCCACGGTGTTGGGAACAAGGTCCTGGTATGGATGGAGGATTGACTGACTGGCAGAATGCAGAAAATAGAGATAAATGGGTCTTTTTCAGGATGGCTACTGGTCACTAATGGAGTTCCGCAGGGGTCCATGTTGCGACCACAACTATTCATGTTATACATTAACAATCTGGACAAAGGAACTAAGGGCATTGTTGCTAAGTTTGCAGATGACCCAAAAATAATTGGAGGGATAGGTAGAGTTGAGGAACTGGGGAAGCTACAGAAGGACTTGGACAGGGTAGGAGAGTGAGCAAAGAAATAGCAGATGGAATACAATGTGGGAAAGCATGAGGTCATGCACTTAGAATGAAGACATGGAGTATTTTCTAAGCAGGGAAAGGCTTTAGAAATCTGAAGTACAAAGGGACTTGAGATTCCTAGTTCAGGATTCTCTTAAAGTTAACTAGGGTTCAGTTGGCAAGTTAGGGAGGCAATTGTAATGCTAGCATTCGTTTAAAGAGGGCTAGAATACAAGGACTGGGATGTACTGCTGAGGCTGTACAAGGCCCTGGTCAAACTACATTTGGAATACTGTGAATAGTTATGGGCCCTGCATCTATGGAAGGAGGTGCCGGCCTTTGGGGGTGGTTGGGGGGGCTCCTGACGAGGTTCACAAGAATGATCCCGGGGATGAAGTGCTTGTCAAAGAGGAGCAGTTGAAGAGTCTGGGTCCATACTCAACAGAGTTTAGAAGGATTGGGGGGAGGGGGGTGTGGTGGTCGTGGGGGTGGGGGGGCGCATCTGATTGAAACTTAGAATACTGAGAGGCCGAGATCGAGTGAACATGGAGAAGGAGAAGATGTTTCCACCAGTAGGAGAGACTCGGATCCGAGGGCACAGCCTCAGTGAGAAGGGACAACCCTTTAGAACTGAGATGGGGAGGAATTTCTTCAGCCAGTGAGTGGTTAATTTGTGGAATTCCTAGCCACAGAGGGCTGTGGAGGCCAAGTCATTAAGACATACTTAAGACAGAGATAGATGTGTTCTTGATTAGCAAGGGGATTAAGGGCTACTGGGAGAAGGCAGGAGAGTGGGTTTAAGCCATGATCAAATGGTAGAGCAGACTTGATGTGCCAAATGGCCTAATTCTGCTTCTATATCTTAAGGTTTACTTTTGTAGAAAAAATATTGTATTCTGGAGAGAAAAAGACAGTTTAATTTTTGTTCATTTTGCTTTCATTTGGTTTGTGTAAGTGTCTACTTGCTGCGTACAACACTTAGAGAATGACATTCAGGTCTGGGCAACTTGTGAAGCAACAAATTAAGGAAGGTAACCTGAACACTTGGTTTGAGCTGCCAGGTTACATTACAGTGTATTACAAGATACGAGTGCAATCTCTGGCCTGTTCAACATAAAACTCAGGGGCTCTCTCATTGGGCCATGAGATTTCACTTTCCATTTAAAAAGGCAAGGCACTGTTGTGGGACAAAGGAGGCTACTGATCTGATGACTTATTTCCAAATCCTGTTGTAGATCCCAACAAATGCATGGCGATCCATTCTGGTCAAGTAATGGGCAATCTCTAATTATGTGTATGCTGGGAATTCTCTTGATCTGAAATAGAACAAACTCACAAGATATAATAGTTTCAAAAGGTTAAAGGGGGTTTTTCAGATGATCTGGTTGGCAGCTGCTGTGTGCAGTCCTCTGTCAGGAACTTTCTTCAGGATCACTTTATTGCTCAATAAAAATGCAGTTCAAGCTGAAATTTGAAGGCTAGATCATTTGCTGAAAATCACCCGCATCAAGAAAGTCCACAAAGTTAATTAAAATTGGAGAACAAGGGAGGATTAGTTGGCATATTATTAGCTACCTTAACCTGCAAAGAGATTTCAGGCTGAACTCTGATTCCATCTGCAGCCAACTTTGTGATAAGCAACAGTGCAAAGTGCAAGTCAGGAACCTAAAGCACTTAAGTGTTACTTCAAGCACCAAAGTGAATTGAAACCACTTCTGTCCATTAAGCAAGTCCAGCAGTAGATTTACAAACAATAAAGGGCGCAATGAGCTACACAAGAGTTAAACAATATCCAATTGCTATAACTGTGTTAATTGTGGCAATCAAAATCATAAATTCTGAGATTTTGCAACAACATACTGAAATTCAGTATCTCATTTTCTTCAAGCACCCTTTCATTATGAAATGAAATCTTCATTTACATCAAGAGCCTTTCAATTACATCTGGTGGGTGGTTAGGAGACCAATAGCAAAAAGAGAGAAGACTCTTGCAGCACTAGACACAAGTACAGCTTAAATCATCTCCTGGCACTTGCAACGACACTCTTCAAAACATGGCATGTGGTCCACATTATTTAGCCTTTTCACTGGCAACTGGAGCTATTTTGCATGATATCAACCCATTGCCCTTCAGTAATCAGAAAATAAAAGCCAGATATATGACTTACCCAAGTAAGGGATGCAGGGAACCATCCTCAAGCTGTTGATGAATTCACGCATTCTCTTGTAGTTGTCTTCTTTAGTCACTAAATAATCCAGCTTCTCAAACGTTGCTTTGTCTTTTCGACTGACTAGCTGCAAAGTAAGAAAGAGACAAAGTTCACTGATAAGATCCTTATGAACCAGAAGTCAAATGAAATATCATTTTGCCAACAATGGGTTTAACGATCTGGGAATAGATAGCAATAAAAAGCATGAGGTGACAAGCAGCATCTGAAAAGCCACCAAGATATTAACTGAATGAATTCAGGCCAAGTACTTACAGACTTTGGCAGGGGTTGTAGAAATGTGCACTCATTAGACCATGGCTTCTGCACAAAGGATCTTATTCTAAAGGGTCTTGTCGTGCAGTGGTAAAAGGCCCTACCTCTGCATTAGGAGATCTGGGCTCAACTCCCACCTGCCCCAGAGGTCTACAATGTGTTTAGAACAGGTTGGTTAAAAATAATTTGAGGTATTTTGTGGTGCAACTAGAATCTGACTCCCAGCCATAAGATGGTGTTTTCAAATACCATCACACTCAAGGGTTTTCATGGCAACTTAGATATTCAGGTTTTCCCTTTTAAAAGGGACAGTGCATTTGTTAATTTGTTTACTAATTTTAATTACGCCCCTTGGGACAGTCAATTAATTCAATCATTTGTTTATTCTTTACTGAGAGAAGTGTATTACAAAGTACAGCCTGTTGCCATGACTGTTGGATGACAAAGCTGCACTGTACCTCACCATGTTCTACATGCTGTGTTATTGCTCACTGTAACAGCAGACTTGAGGCCACCTTCTTCTTCCAGTGTAGGGATCTACAGGGCCTGTCTGGTCTGGTGTGAAGACTTGGTTGCGTAATGACAGAAAGCTCTTGTGTAGTTTATAGCATGATAGTAAACAAGGTAAACTGGTGTACAAAAAAAAACAAATCAATGGAACAACGGAGAAGTACAACATGGGAACAGGCCCTTCAGCCCTCCAAACCTGTGCTGATCATCATGCCCTAACTAAACTTAAAAACAAACTTACTGCCTTTATTTGGTCCATTTCCCTCTATTCCCTCCCTTTTCATTTAACCATCCAGATGCCTCTTAAATGTCATCAATGTGCCTGCTTCCACCACCTCCTCTGGCAGTACATTCCAGGCTCCTACCACTCTCTATGTGAAAAACATCCCTCGCACATCTCCCTTAAACTTTCCCCCTTTCACATTGAACCTGTTCCCCCTTGTAATTGAAACTTCAACCTGGAAAAAAGCCTCTGACTTTCCCCTCTACATTTGCCTCTCATCATTTTGTAGCCCTCTATCAGGTCTCCTCTCAGCCGCTTTCTTTCCAGTGAAAACAATCCTAGTCTTTTTAACCTTCCCTCATAGCCAATGCTCTAAAAAACAGGCAACATCCTGGTGATCTTTCTCTGCACTCTCTCCAAAGCTTCCATATCCTTCTGATAGTGTGGCAACCAAAACTGCACACAATACTCTAAATGCGGCCTAACAAAGGTTTTAGATAGCTGCAACATGTTTTGCCAACTCTTGTATTCCATGCCCCGGGCGATGAAGACAAACATGCCATCTGCCTTCTTAATTATTTTGGCCACCTGTGTTGCTACTTCTGGGAACTGTGGACTTGCACGGCCAGATCCTCTGTACGTTAATGTTCCTAAGGGTTCTGCCATTAACAGTATAACTCACACCTAAATTTGATCCTCCAAAATGCATCACCTCACATTTGTCTGGATTAAACTCCATCTGCCATTTCTGTGCCCAAATCGCCAATCTATCTATATCCTGTTGTATCCTTTCACAATCGTCAGCCCTATCAGCAACTCCACCAATCTTTGTGTCATCTGCAAACTTACCAATCAGACCACCCACATTTTCCTCCAGATCATTTATATATACTACAAACAACAGAGGACTGAAGACTGATCCCTGTGGAACTAGTTACTGGTCTCCATTTTGAACAACATCCTTCCACCGCTGCCCTCTGTCTTCTATGACCATGCCAGTTTTGAAGAATCCACCTAGCCAGCCCACCCCGAATCCCATGTGGTTTTAGTTTTTTACCAATCTGCCATGTGGCACTTTTATCAAACACCTTACTAATGACCGTATAAATTACATCCACAGCCTTTCCCCCATCAATTATCTTTGTCACCTCTTCAAACAATTTAATCAGTTGATGAGACATGACCTTCCCCGTACAAAATCATGCTGCCTGTCACAAACTAGTCCATTTTCTTCCAAATGTGCATTTATCTCGTCCCTCAGTATCTTCTCCAAGAACTTCCCCACCACAGACATCAGGCTCAACAGCCTATAATTTTCTGGATTATCCCTGCTTCCTTTCTTAAACAAGGGAGCAACATTGGCTAATCTCCAGTCCTCTGGAACCTTGCCTGTGGTCAAGGTGGATGTGAAGATATCTGCTAATGTCCCAGCTATTTCTTCCCTTGCCTCTCGCAGTAACCTGGGATAGATCCCATCTGGCCCTGGGAAATTATCTACCTTAATGCAATTTAGGATACCCAAAACATCCACCTTCAATATAATGACATTCTCTAGAGTATTCACACACTCATTCCTGACCTCAGCATCAGTCATGTCCTTCTCCTCGGTGAATGCGTAAAAAGCCTTGGGATTCTCCTTGACCCTATTTGCTAAAGACATTTCATGGTCCCTTTCAGCCTTCCTAATTCTGCACTTAAGTTCCTTCCAAATTTCTCTATACTCCAAGGGCTTCATCAGTTTGCAGCTGCCTAGACCTATCGTATGCTTCCTTTTTCCTTTTGACATAGCTGACAATTTCCCTTGTCACCCATGGTTCCTGAATTCTGCCATTCCTATCCTTCGATGGTGTGATTGGCAATGCTTACAGAGACCATGTAGAGGACTTGGATGGTAGGTCACCCTCTTATTGCTTATTCTTCCACCAAATGACATCAATATGATGAGTGGTGTTTAAGGCAGTCATCAACATTACCTCTGTCAGCCCCTCACATAAAGATAGCTTTTAAAACCTCCTCTTGGAAGCTAAGATAACGCCTGGTTAGTACTTGGCTGGGACACCACCCTGGGAATACAGGGTGCAGTAAGCTTTTGCTGCCTGCAGAGGCTGCTCATGCCACCAACTCTCCACATGTACTCTGCTACACAATTAATTGTCAAGCTTTTCCAGGGAACATTATTTCAATTTGATAAGTTTCCTTGGTAGCTCTATTTTAGTTGCAGAGGTCCTTTAAAAGGTTGTTAATGAGTTAAACTGTTTATTTGGTTATAGTTTACTTATTAAGATCCTGGGAAATGTTGCTGAACAAGGAGACCCTGGAGTGCAGATTCATAGGTCTTTGAAAGTGCAGTTGCAGGTAGACAGGATAGTGAAGGCAGCGTTTGGTATGCTTGCCTTCATTGGTCAGTGCATTCAGTATAGGAATTGGGAGGTCATGTTGCGGCTGTACAGGACATTGGTTGGGGTGCTTTTGCAATTCTGGTCTCCCTACGACAGGAACAATGTTGTGAAACTTGAAAGGGTTCAGAAAAGATTTACAAGGGTGTTGCCAGGGTTGGAGGGATTGAGCTATAGGGAGTAGCTGTATAGGCTGGGACTATTTTCACTGGAGTGCTGGAGGCTGAGGGATGACCTTATAGAGGTTTATAAAATCGTGAGGGGCATGGATAGAGGGAATAGCCAAAGTCTTTTCCCTGGGGTGGGGAGTCCAAAATTAGAGGGTATATGTTTAAGGTGAGAGGGAAAGATTTAACAGGGACCTAAGGGGAAACTTTTTCACGCAAAAGAGCCGCGTGTGTATGGAGTGAGCAGCCAGAGGAAGTGGTGGAGGCTGGTATAATTACAACATTTAAAAGGCATCCAGATGGATATACGAATAGGAAGGATATAGAGGGATATGGGCCAAATGCTGGCAAATGGGACAAGATTTATTTAGGATATCTGGTCGGCATGGACGAGTTGGACTGAAGGGTCTGTTTCCATGCTGTACAGCTCAATTATTCTAAGTCTCAAAGGAATATAAAAATTGAACCCTGTCAGTCCTTTTGGAGATCCCACGTCATTCTTTGGCAATTCCCAATTAGTTCAGTTGGTAGTTAGTTAACAAGGCTTTTAGCCCCACAGTCAGTCTCGAGTATCGTACACATTTGTGGAATCCGAATTGTAGGACAGAAGTCATTGAACTGGAGAGGATGCAAACGAGATTTACCAGGACGTTTCCTGTGCTGGAGAGTTTTCGTCATAAACAGACTGTGGTTATCTTCCTTGAAGAACAGGAGATTAACAGGGAACACGATTGAGATGTATAAAATGATGAGGGGTGTAGACAGGGTAGATGGGAAGAAACTTTACCCCTTGGCATAGGAAACAATGATCAGGGGGTGTAAATTGAAGAGGCAGGAGGTTTAGAGGGGATGTGAGGAAAATAAACGCTTAGCCAGGAGGACGGTGGGAAGTTGGAATACACTGCCTGTAAGGGTAGTAGAGGCAGAGCCCCTTATAACTGTTAGGAAGTATTTAGATATACTCTTGCATTGCCAAGGCATACAAGACTGTGGGCCAAGTGTTAGAAAGTGAGATTAGAATAGTTAGGTTTGACTGACACAGACTTGATGGGCTGAAGGGCCTTTTTTGTGCTGTAGGCCTCAATGATGTTCGGACACATGGGCCTGTATTTTACCTACAGCCGTACCAGTCTGAAAACACCCAAACTTGGAAGAAATGAGACATTATATGGGTCCTGGTTGGTAATTGAACAGGAGATGACCTAGACATTTCAGCCACTGACAGTGTGCAGTTGCTATCTACAAGAGTGTATGCTTTAGCATTTTTTTCCCCAGTAAGTGGGACCAGACTGAAACAGAATAGTTTCTTTTGGAAAGTAAAGCAAAAAGAGAGCAAGCAGACTTTGTGATGGCATGTAAAACGGAAGAGTTCTGATATTTCCTTTCTTGAAGGCAGTATCTTGTCTTGTTGTAGTTTACAAAATAGAAATGGAGTTATGCTGCACTTGTAAGTTAACTGTACGTTCTCAATATCTGCCAAGAAGTGTGTTACAAATTATGTGAATAAGTACAGTGT